AACTATAGCAGCCATTTATGTTGACAGATATGTTAGCCGACCAATGAAAGATGAAGCGAAAACATTCGAAAATATTTGTGCAGAAATATTTATTCTATTTAATATTAGAAAAAAAAATTTTGAAAGTTTAGAAAATATGCAGAATTTTGTTGTATGCCACTGACATCTATTGACAGTAACAATTAAAAACAACATCTGCAATTTGGTCCTTCAAGTACGAAAGTGCAAAGAATTGTTTTGGTGATTGTTAGAATTATAAAAGAATGCGAGTGTAAGCACTTTGTGGACTGAGATATATTGACCGATGGCCTTAGAAGGAGATCAGAGAGTACGGTGAAAGTGCAGTTCATCTTTTCGATTTTCATGTTTGCTCAATTTTTATGAGAAGAGATAGAGAGAGATGATCTGTGACAAAACTCATACTAATTATTTTTATTTGGAATAAGAATCGGTTTCCGACGTTGTGAGCCAAACGACAACTTCGAACCTGTTCCAACAATAATATCATAATCAATATAGGATTTCTTTAGTTTTTTTTCTCGAATATATATATATATTTATTCGTCTGTACCTGTGAGCTAGACTTCACTTACCCTCAAGATGCAATTTAGCATATCCAACTACGCAACACTTTGGCATATTGCGGACTTCCACCGACTTGTTTTGATAGCCAGAGACATCTACACCGGATGGAGTCTAAGCCAATCACTGCGGATTTATGCGTTAGTCGATCAATCATATTTCATCATATTTATTTTCTCCTTCGCTCGTTTCAATGACGTTTGAAACAGCTCTATCGTCTTCATATTTTCTCTATTTCAGTTATTAGTTTGTAATGAGTACGTCAGCGTCAAATACGACCAATCCATCAAATTCAATGTCTGAAGTAGATGATATCAATCTATTTCAAGCGGCAAGACGGAATGGTCGACGTAATGCATTAGCTGATCTTGGCGAACAACTTTCCCAAGGTTAACTTTGTTTTCCTCTTTATCGTTCATTCTTAAACACTCGATTTTTTTCTAGTCAATACGGCAGCGTCGTCCCCTGAAGTCGACAATCTGTCGCCGCACTTTCAATCAATGTCACTTAAGCATTAAACGAACGTTCTATACGCCGGACAAACATGTCTAATACATCTCTTGTCTCTGCTGTGATAGAAGTATAATCAACAATCGTCTCCGTAATTTGTTTTTTTTTCTTCGTATACCGATACACGAGAGAATGACGAAAAATTCAGCAAAAGTGTATTTATATTTGTTTTAATAAAAAAAAATCTCATATGATAACAGCGATTGAAGCTGCTAGTCATGTCGAATATGTATCTATACAAGATTTTTTAGATGTTCGATTGATTGAATTTCAAGTAATTCGGTAATCATGTCGGTTAGTTTCAAGTTTTCATCGAAGGAACACGTAATTCATTGATTTGTATGCTTTAGTTTGATCTTGTTCGAAAACGTTTAACAAAAGAGTTAAAATTACTAACAGAAAATCCAACGCCGGGCATGTAGGTTTTTCTTTGGTATTTATTCATGAAACCAATATATGCATTTGCTTTTAGCCGAGTCGTTGACGATGGTTCAGATATGCGCAAGTAAGTTGTTGGCGTTTCTACACTCGAATTATCGAACGAATTTTCTAGAATTCGAATCGATATCGAAGGCGCATCAGGAACACTGTACGATGGTGAAAAGTTTCAATTACTATTCAAATTTTCCGATCAGTATCCATTTGATTCCCCACAAGTAAGGAATTTCTCAAACTGATCTTTTTTTCTTCATCAAATTCTGTAGGTAACCTTCATTGGATCAAACATTCCACTGCACCCTCATATCTATTCGAACGGACATATATGTTTGTCAATTTTAACGGACGACTGGTCTCCTGCGCTAAGCATCAACGCTGTTTGTCTTAGTATTTTATCTATGCTATCAAGTTGCAAAGATAAGGTAATGAGAGAATTCTAGATTTAGACGAATGTGAATTGAAGTACTATTGAGATAATCGATGTCGAGATTTATTTGCTCAAGAGTATAGAAAATCTTCGCAGTTATTTGCATTTCTCTTTCTCGGACAAATAAGAATGTGTATGCATACGCGTTTCCGAAAGGAATCGATCATCGTTCTCTCCGATGGAATCTAATGGAATTAGGATTATTCTTTTGATAAGTAACAGATGTATATCAAAGAAATTCTTTCTCTCCTTTAGAGTCGCCCACCTGACAATGATTGGTATGTTCGTACAGCTTCAAATGATCCGAAAAAAACGCGCTGGTGGTATCATGATGACGCTGTTTGATGGAACTCCTTCATCCTGATGTACATTCGATTTCTTTACTCGTGCAAACAGGTACGGACGTACTTTTCCATTAGAGAAACTACGTCTATTTGTTATCTTTGTAGGAAATGAAAACAAACAACAATCGAACAGTGCAATCATTTCTTCTTCTTCTTCTTTTTTTCTTCTTTGAATGAATATTTACATAAGTTATTTTTCTCTCTATTGTGTGAAAAGCAAGGAAAAGCATAACCATACCCACCTGATAGGAAAATGAATGGCATGAAGAATTCTTGATCTAGCATTCACAAGATTTGAAATAAATTCGTGTTTGGAAAGTCTCGTTTCGTACTTTTCAGATGGCATCAGAACTGATACTTGAGCAAAGCATAAAATCATTTGATGGTTATCAATATGTCTTTAGTCATGATAGGTATCAAAGAAGAAGAAAGCGCTTTGCTAACTATGCTATGAAATTCCATGTTTAGTTTTACTGTTGATTGTCAAATGAAATTCGGTATTTATCTTCCAAATAGAGCAGATCATAAAAGTCTACCATTGCTTATATTTCTTTCTAGTTTGTAGCTTGTTTGTGAAGAATTTCTGTAATGATTGTTCGTGCTTTTATTAGATTCCGAATGTAATGAGCAAAGTTTTATTTTGAAATCAGGCGTTCAACGCTTAGCATCGAAATATGGTTTCATTGTTGCGAATCCAGATACGACTCCGCGTATGTATCCAATGGAAATACAGGATCGATTTGAATCTATATTGAGATAGGTGGTTGCAATTCGGGAAATGAAGGGGAAGGATTTTGTATTGATGCTACAGAAAGTCCATGGGATAAAAACTATCTGATGTTTTCGTATATCAATGATGAGTTTTATGACTTAGTTTTGAGTCATTTTAATGTTGATATCGATCGAATTGGAATATTGGGGTAAAAAGAAAAGATCACAGGAAAAAAGCGATGTATCTATAATTCTAGGCATGGAATCGGTGGTCACGGTGCATTGATAAGTTATTTTAAACGTCCTGGCCAGTATAAATCAATATCAGCTTTAGCACCTTTGTGTAATCCAATAAAATGTCACAAGGGTAGACAGACGTTCCTGAAATTTCTAGGAGAAAGTATGTTTAACATATCAACATCCATAAATTAGCCTTCTTTTTGTCGATTTTTCTCAAAAAGATGAAACTCTTTGGAAAGACTACGATGTTTGTGAACTTGTCCAAACATATCAAGGTCCAGTGCCGTATTCGCCTCTCTTAATTGATCAAATTTCGGATAACTATTCGTCGACAAATGAATTTATTCATGGATGTACTGTCGCAACATTTCCAGTACAATTACGTGAACAAACGGACTACGATGACAGTTATTACTTCGTCATGACTTTCCTCGACGATCATTTTAAATATCATCAAAACGAATTTGAACATTGAAATATGATTTCGTTCCTCGACATACTTCAGAATGTACTCTGTCATGATTCCTACCTGATAAATCGTTCCATAGTGACTATAAAAATAAGCACATATATGTATTCAAATAACTCGTTTTTGAACATTCTGCCGTGATTGTATGTGAGATTCATTCCGGATAGAGTATAATTGTAAACGATTGCTTTGATTTGCGCAACTACCAACTCATCATTACAAGCAGTTGTATTACAAACGATACTTTCATATGTTTTCCTTATTGATTTCGTGTCTTTAGACATGATCACAAAGCCGTACTCTAATCTTGGAAATAAATCAGATGAACATCGTTGATTGAGAATATCAGTTGAATTGAAAATACAAGTGGAACGCTGAGATACGGAGCATTCTTCGATATTTTTGGTATATGAGTTATAACAAACTAATACGGATGGTGCCCTCGAGTCGAAAATCAAGGATTTTAATTGTTCCAGCGGGCTGACTTGATTGTCATAAAAAGCAATGAACTCTTCTGCATATTTTGCAGCGCAATTATTCACCGTTTGACAAGCAATATGTATTCCGATAACAAGTTCATCGGTATGTAATGTTTCCATGACAAATAAAAAGTAGATGACAAATTGATAGTTATTTTTCTCCAAAGTCTCGTTGATTTCTCTTTGAATAACATGATTCGTTGAACCTAACATGTACGACATCGTCCGCAAGTACGTGTCTTTGCCGTAGAAAATTGTCAATTGTGCAACACATCTTCTCGCATGATTATTAATCATGCAATAGGGCGAGTTTTTCAACTTGAGATAGCGTCTCGCATAGGTTATTTCTTGGGGGAGACACCGATCAAAACAAATAAGTTGTTGCGATAATTGAAAAATAGAAATGAAGAGAAAAAAGCTAGCTTTCATTAATTTCAATTTACCGCTGAATTTATGCTCTTCAAATTATAATTCTTTGAGCCAGACTATTTTTGGTATCTATTAAAAGACACTCGAGGTTATTTTCTTTCTCCTCGGATTGACATTATAAATGAATGCAATTACAGAGATTTTTTCAAAGCTTTTCATGTATTATATTCGTTCGGCCCTGTTTTACAAGAGCAAACATGAAAATCTTCAATAGAGCGCATTTATATTTCTCTTTTTAGTCGACGTTCGAGAGAGAGAAAAAATAAACGTCAGAGCGGAATAGAAGAAATAGACGATACAAATGTAATTCTTTGCATATTCCATTTCTGTCTCTTATCAGATTGATACAAAGCAAAGAAGCAGAAGCATCGATGGGAACAACATCTGATCACTCCGAGGAAGTACGTAGAACTAGGATGAATTCGTCTTTAATAAGCGAATAAATTTACGGTATTGTTATCTGATTGTAAAGCGGATATTCAATCTCCTGGGCGTGAAAAGTATCCGCAGGAAATGTTTCCGTTTCTTGGAAAAAAGAACGCGCATCGCATATTAATATTTAATTGACTATTATTGCGAATTTCAGGGGTAATTACATTAAAGCTCAACAAGTTTCCTCGAGAAGAGGAAGGCAACATAGTACACGGCCGTCTAACTCTTTCGTGGGAACAACATACGGAAACAGAGTGAAGCTTATTAGTGATTAAGAATGCGGCGAAGTTAGTTGTGATGGTATGCAGATGATGAGAAAGAACTGAATACTTTAGCCGAATCAATGAGCAGAAGAAATAGGAACGCGAGTACAAAATTAATGAGAAATAGTTGATCGATTTACTTGTATGTTTTTTTCGATAGTATAATGAGAAAATGTTGCCAACGAACATGACAGCAAACAGATAAACGGTTGTTTTGTCTGCCCTGCTAAAGAGTATGCCAGTTGACAGCTTGTCCCACAACTAGAATTTGATGGTACTCAGAGCTATAGAATACTATTAGAAGAGACATTTCATTTGTGAAGAGGAAAGTACTTTTTCTATGAGTTGTCATCAATAATTCACGGAATTTTAGTATAAAATAGGTTTTTTGTCCCAATAGATTTTCTATCAAACAGTCGGAAGCCGTAAGCTTACAATTGAAGCCATACAGGATGTCGAAATATTTTTATAAGAAGAAAAGTAGAGAAGATCGTCTGTGCTCGAACCAGAGAAAAAGAAGAGAGAATGAATTCAGCATTGAAGTGCATTTCATTTAACATTGTGAGCATCTTCTCAACTACTACAGGTAAAATTTGAGCTTTCACGTGTCGAATGTACTTGTGGGAAACAAAGTACGTCAATAGGAGTCTCTATAGACCTGTCATTTTCATTCTGAACAGTCTTATATGTCACTCATCGCTTAGTACGCTGTGGATTTTAGTTAATGCTACACCTACTCTTGTTTTAGTTATGAATGTGTCTCATTATCACATAATTAGACACTGAATTATTTATAAAGTATTGCCTTTAATCAAAATACTCTTCTCGACAATATGTCAAATATTAAGGTACCCAACGAACAAACCATTGACTTGTATGAACATTTACTTGGAATTTTTCCTTGCTGCTTTCGTTTTGTCGAAGTCGATGTTTTCTTTACGTTTAGATGAACATTCTTGCTTACAACAATCTGAGCTTATGCAAAGCTGATTATTTTGAAACGTGTTGGTGTAAATTGAATCAAAGTGAAGTAACGACATGCTCGTATCTTTTACGTCACGTTGCTTCATCATCAAATTTGACACATTTTTGTGTTTATCATAACATCCGCAAAATCATCGAATGTTTCAATTCCACATCAATCTTTTCGAAATCTTCAGATTCTGCTTCGAACATATACATTTATTTCACTATTCTCCTATTTATCGTCGGAATCATCGGCAATGGTCTGTCGATCATTGTCCTGTTCGATAAAACACTTCGATGTATAAATGTTTACAGAAATTTGATTATCCTCTGTGCACTAAACATCTTCTATTTACTGGCGATATCCAGCCGACATATCAATATCTATCATCAAGATTTACGTAATATCTCTCCGAATGTTTGCCGTTGGCATACATTTATCGTTGCTTTCACCGGACATTTGTGTTCGTGGCAACTAGTGTCAACTAGTATTCAACGTGTACATGCTTCACTTAGTTTGCAGTTGCACCGAACAGCATCGTGGGTAAGTGCGGAGAAAACATATTTCCATCGAGAAATAGAATAATTTGCCAAGCAATTAACTAAATTATTAATGAATCTATGTTTTTTTTAGATACAAACATTCGCGATACTGTTCCTTTGCATCGTATTGCCGTTGCTCGTTTTCGATGGTCAACTCGTATTCAAGTATGGATTTTTATCCAAACGTCACATGTGTGACGAGAGCTCAATATTCAAAATCAAGCAATTTCAACGAGCATTAGATACTCCGATCACGATCCAGTCCGAACTATTAAGGAATGTCACAACTCGTTATTACTCAACTGTGTTCCGCACACCGAATCCGAAACCATACGTTTGTGGCGTTTGTACCCTTTGGAATATCCTAGACACGTTTATCTATGCAATCATTCCGTTTCTACTGATTTTAATAAGTAGTATCATCATTATCATCAAAATATGGCAACGACGTCGTTTAACGATTATGATTGGTGGAGTACATGAAATAAACCCAAGGTTTATATCGACTCAAGATAAACTATCCATACTTTTAATTCTCATTAATTGTCTATTTTTGATTATGACCGGCCCATTCAATACCCATTTGATTATTCAGTCAACTTTGAAATACTATTTCTCCAAACCGTGCTCAATAAAGACGAACATACAATTAAATGAATATCTACGTATACTTCAGAATCTCTACCATGCCTTGTCATTTATGTTTTATTGTTTAATCGGCAATAAGTTTCGACGAGCAGCATGCACGATGTGTCAACGATGTTACTGGAAACTTATACAATTTCTATGTAGATATCAACGAGGTCAAGCATCGTTCTTATCATGCTATATTAAGCGTGATCATTTGAAAAGTCGAGCAGTATCGGAGTCGTTGTCAAATGCCGGCAATCATAAACGTCTATCGAATTTCTTGCCAATGAGTTTGATGGGCAAGAAGAGCTCATTTCTAGGCATTTCAAGTGAACGAGCAAATGAGGAGTCTGATGCATTTGTAAAGAAATGAAAAGGCAAAACAACGAATATCTATAATTTATTCTCATACTCATTCCGTCTCTTCATTATTGTTGTTGTTGTTGTTGTCTTTATTTTACAAACGAAATAAATAAAAATAAGCATTTGCACTAACAAATAAGAAAAGAACATTCAAGGATGGTGAGTAGAAACGTCGGCTCTTACTGCTTACAGAGAGAAAGAAAAAGACTCCATAGCCATGTGCTTCTTCTATATACATCTATTTAACCAGTCAGAAAAAAATACAGGAAAAGTCAACACTATCCTGCGTTCTTTTTTATTCGCTGTTTTGTTTTGCAATCGGTTGACAACGTCACTCGCATCTTCTTTTCTTTTCACTTAAGCATGGAGCAATTGAACGTGAACACAATCGAATTACCAGCTGTGAATCCAAATGAAGAATCTATCGATCTCTTAGCTGAACCAGTTTTGAAACTGTCTACATCTGCATCCTCAAATCCAAGTCTATTACAACGTTTTTCCGGAATCTTCTATAATTTAGCTTCAGCATTTCTATTAACATTTTCCATTTTTATTGTCAAACATCTAGGTGTCGATCTACTTGACGCCTTGATCCCACGATTTCTTCTTCAATCGATTCTTCTCGCTTTCTATATGAAATTTATTAAACATTATACATTCTACAAGCAAACAAGCAAAGGGGAAATGTTGTCTCTATTCGCAAATGTGTTCTTTGCTACCAGTGGTTTTTTTGCTTTTTTCTTTGCCTATCGTTATTTATCATTACCAGATGCCATTACTATACGTTACACCCAAATCATCTGGACAGCAATCCTATCGACGATTGTCTATCGTGAGAGACCGTCAATACCGATAGTTATAGCCACACTGCTAACGACAGTCGGAGTGACGTGTGTTGCTCAACCGAGCTTTTTATTCAGCAAAATCTCGTCATCGAATGATTCACATCGTTCATTGGGTTTAGCGATTGTATTTTATTCTTCAATAGCCATGTCAATTATGGTCCTAACGAATAAGCATTTACTTCTGAAATATAAGACAAAACATAGCTTAATTGTGTTACAATATGCATTTGTTTCATTATGTGCAATGGTTATTTACTGTTTTTACAAATATTATTTTCGTTCCGATCGCATTCAATCATTACAAGAAAATTTTCTCACTTGGAAATATTTATGTGCATCGTCAGTTTGTCTTTTACAGATTCTCTCCTCGATATGGATACAAAAAGCGATCAAACGCGAATCACCCTCGGTATTTACCATTATTCAATCCAGTGATATTTTATTTTCTATTTTATTACAAAATCTCGTTTCATCTAGCAAATCCAATCTTCTCTCGATATTTGGCTCGATGCTTGTTCTAACAAGTATACTGATCATCAGCATTTACAAGTTTCTCAACGAACGAAAAACGAAGACAAACACTGTGAAATGAATCGATTTGTTTGATTTCCTTTTTACCGAATAAATATGTTTGCAGAATTCCAGCAGAATGTAAAGACAATTTCCACGCGAGCGAGACTTTCCAAGAAACAGTCTAGAAATCGTATCGATCGTTCGAGGCTTGGTGAGGTTTCTTTTTCCATTGATTGCATGTGTATGTAGATATATGCATATATATTTATAAGTTTTCGGACTTGAACGAAAAGGAAACGAGTCGAAAAGAAATAGGTACAGAAAACGAGAATAAGACGAATTTTGTTTTGCATATATAATCGAACTAAACAGAAAGAGAGAAAACGAGTGTTTGATTTTCTTCCATCACGATACATTCGTTAAGAGGATGAAAAGAGAAAAACAAATCGAAACATTATCAAAAGTAGAGAGAGACCCACTGACTAAAAACATATTTATTGTAGATTGATCAACAAACGGAATGTCAATGGAAGAAGAGAAATTACTGATTTGAAATCAAGTAGCACTTGTCGCTGAAGTTGCTGGTTTTGTCAGATGTGATATTGGATCATATCGAAGTACCATATCGTGCGCTTCGGGATGAAGACGAAGATACTCATTTTTAGCATTGGCATACGCTTGAACCATTTCTTCGTAGTGAAGTTTTTCACTTTGGTTGGATAATGTACATCTAAAAGCATAGCAATGTTCTCTTCTGCAACGAAATGTTCACTTGCGTACCTTTCATTATTAGTGAAGTGATCGTAACCATTGATTGTCTCACGACATACATAACAAATAAATAATCCACATGACGAACAGGTCATTTTATTACAGCCTTCGACTTTATAAAATCTCTGAAAAAGAATAAACAGATTTGAGTTGTTATCATGTGTCCATAGACGAATGTGTCTATTACTTGTGTACACCGAGGACATTTACGTATCATTGCTTCTGTTACGTGTTCTTCAATGAATTTACGCATTTCGAGTTCAACACCTTTTTCGACTTCATCACATCGTAACGGAATATGATTCGGTTCTTTGCATAATCTAAAAGCATTGCAAATAGCACACAAGATTTTAAAAAAGCCAAAGTTTTCCGTATGAAAGTTCACCTGCAGGTTTCCTTCATACATTCGGGATTTAAACAGCGAAAGACTTTGTCATCTGGGTTATCAACAATAACAGCATATGGACAATAGGGACAACATTCGAGACCATCGATTTCAGCTAAACAAAAACAAGCAAATCTTTCTTTTCACATTTTCTTTTTCGTTCCTACCTTGTCGAATATTCTCCTCTTGGATCCGTCTATTCAATCGACTGAAATCATTCGGCGGCAAGAGTTCACCAACAAGCTGTATTGCATATTCACCTGGACACGAACTTTCAACACAAGGAAATTGGCATTTGCCTTCCTTGAAACAAACATCAACGTGTGTTCGAACGCAGTTCCTATAAGAACATAAGTTTCGTATGATTCGAAGAATTCAGCTCAATTTACCGGCAATAAAGATGTCCAACTGTACATTCTACCATATCGTCGATCAATAAATCCTCTCGACAACAAATTTCACATTCCAATGTCTCATTGCCTTTCTTCGCTTTCTTCACACGTTTCTCATGGTCTTTTGACATTTTACCAAGATAACCTAATAGACATATGCATTTACCACAATCATCCAAACAAAACAGTTCTTACGTCGAATTTTCACTTCGTTCTTCGCAAAACGAAGTTCATCGTAAAATTCTTCACACGGCGTATGCGGAATTGCATATGCAAACTTATTATTTTTAATTAGCCATGACGCGGATGGCATCCGACCAACGCCACTCGTAGAAAGATCTATTGAATATACAAAATAGATTCAATCGTTTCAATCAATTGACATACCAAGCATATCGACCGACTTTCGGATGGCTGTTCGTTGCAAGAATGTGTTTGTTCGTATGGAGAACCGTGCTTCTAATTTTCGTACGGTTGGCAGAAAATGATAGTTTTCTTCTTGTAAGGCTTGTTCGAGAATACTCTTATCAGTCGTTGGAAACGCACGGACAAGAAATGCTTTGGCATGATTTGTATAGGATTCTGATTGCTTGCGTTGAGTATCGAAAAAGTAGGCTAAAGGATCTGAATAGGATGCGAGAAATCGAGGAATATCATCGATTGTTTCTGACCAAGAACGTTTCAGTGACACATGACGGTCGTGATCGAAAGACTTCTTTTGCTTCTTTGTGTAGCCATTATCGAAGAAACTCGTTACGATGTCATTGGTTGAAGGAATAGGGTTCATTGCTGTGATTGTTCGACGTGCTGCATCGAGATCAATGTCAGGTATGACAGCTTCAACTTGTCCAAGAATTTCTTCAATGTCGATTTCAGGTACGAGAATAAGGTCTGCTTCATTCACAGGGTTTTCAGGCGACGTCGGCGGAATCGCTGTTGTCGGGACTATTGGAGTAACATACTGATTCATAGGAGGAGTTGGATATGTATATGCATGTGGTTGAACCGGAATAAAGTCTCTAGAATACATATCTTGTTGATAAGCATCAGAAAAACGAGAGACGCTTTTATCTTATCGTTAGTTGGATAAATTCTTACTGAAAGTGAGGAAAATATCCTTATGAGCTATTTTCATAATCGATGATTTTTTTAATTATCATTATGGCCTACCAAATAGTGAAATTTCGATTTTTATCAGTGGATGAGAATGATTCATCGAATAGGTTTTATGAGAAGATCAATTTGTTGATGCAAGTTGGAAGTTTTTAATTTCCCTGAAATCACTTTGATGGAAACTGGGATTTTTCCTAAACATACCTGATAGTGGTTGATGGATTCACTGTATGATTTGTCGTTAGATCAATGACCTCATTTGCTAGGGTTGGTTGCGGAGAGCTGAAGTTGTTTATCGGAATTGTAGTCGTCGGCCACGATGGATTAGTATTTAGATTCATCCATGGATAGGTCGACGATGCTTGTTGAGTATAAACTGATGGATACATCGATGGAGTTGACGTTGGCCATGGATTCACGGTGGTTGGTATCCAAAATCGATCAAACATTGTTGGCGTTGTGCCAAGCTGAATATTCCTCCAATCAGATAAATCTTTTGCTTGTTGATTTACAGATGCTGCTGTTGTTGATGTTGATGTTGATGTCGTCGTCGTTGTTGTTGTTTGTGTATTTGCCGACGATATATTTAACGAATGATCAATTTCATTGAAATCCAAATAATTCATGGCTATATGATCTAAAATAAACTCGTATCATCAGACAAGAAGGATTCGTCCGTTCGAGTGTCAACGTAGTGACTGAGCGTATGAATGAATGAAAAAAAAAGTAAACATATATACTCAACGACAACAGCATTTTTCTGTCCTACCACAACAACAACAACAACAACAGCGTCATAGCTCGCAAAAAAAACGAGAAAAAAACTTAACGAAGTATGTGCGTTAGGAGAACGAACAACGCACAACGCCGCGGCGTGTAATAACGGAAGAGGAAAGTGAGAGAAAATGTACGAGAGCTTGAGGGACCGGCCGATCGACTATCTGCTTGTCTCTTCTCGTCGATAACGAACATTAATAAATGTTTCGATTGTCTCACCTACTGAACGATTTTTTTTTCTTATTCTGTCGTCTTTTCATCTCGATGATTCAATATGACATCAAAATCTCATCCTAGACCACATTGACTTGCAGATCATGACAAGTATATTTCTCTTTTTCATAAACATTCTCACATCAATGCTTGAGTCAGAAGGTTATTAGTCATCGAATTTCAATATTCAGGTAGAGAAAAAACACATAAATTAAATTAGACTACAGCGACATCTAACTTTTCATTTCAAACAAATTTTCATTCAGCTATCTCAGCTGATGAAGTTTTTATAGAACTAAACTACTTTTGAAGGAAGAAAACAAACAAGTCGTCATTTGTTTGCTTTGTCATTGGGTTAAATCTCAGCTGATAAGAAATGATGTAATCAAAAAAGGGACTCTAAATTATTTTTACATATACATATGCATGTTCAGAAAATCTCAACAATATTTGTGGAGGAAGAGTAGAACTCGTGGTGGTCATCTCCATCTATATGATCACATTTTCATCCAATGTACTTTTCCACCAACACGGTAATTTCCATATAGAATGTCATTGTGTGTTAATTTCTTGTTGTTCTTATTCATTGCAAGATCCTTCAGTCTGACTAAATGTCGATGCAAAACAGCGAATATCAATGCACGAAATTATTACGATCTGTTGGGTGTAGAACAGACTGCGACGCAAAAAGAAATTCGAAAAGCTTTTGTAAAATTGTCGAAAGAGGTGAATACGAATAGAGCTTCAAGCATGTGTATCCTTATGAAAGACTTCAAGTTATAGTATCATCCGGACGCCAATTCAGCAGATAAATCTCTACATGATAAATTTGTTAAAATCAATGAAGCATTCAGTGTTCTGAGTAAACCGTCAGCAAGGAAAACTTACGATCAAAGTAATTCAAAAGAAATACAACTAGATTTCCGGTTATTGGAGTATTTCTGTTTAGATCTTAATTATCCACATCAATCTGCTAGCCGAGGATACTCTGCCTCGCCAACAGCGCGCCAACAAGCGTCAAACGGTTTTCCATTCGAATGGACAGCACGAAATTCCAACAATCGGGGAGCTTATGCTCGTCGACCGACTTCCAATGAGTTTGACTGGTAGAGAAATGTGCTTGTCATATCCTGATTGCTCACTTCTTGTTGTTGTAGGGGCACACCACATTTTGATAAAACCTTCTATGATATGTTTCGTCGGCAAATGGAACAAGATCGAAAACGTCGCCGAAGCTATTCGTATAATCCACCACCGGGATACGGAATGATCGACACTTACTTAGCCCCATTTACGATCATTACAGTTCTGCTTGCTTTTGGTATTTTGATACATGTCCTTCAAGGACGGTAAGACACTCGAATGAAAGTCATAGTTTTCTTCGTAACACAATTCTAATTTAGAATGGCGAACTTTTCTGACCCAAATTATGTTGTAGATCCACGAAGTCGGAGTTATCATGCTTACCGTGAATGGCAACGATTGAGTGCACTTAAAAATGCGGAATCAATGCCTCTACGTACCGGGTCAACAAAGCGTGATAATGAAGAAGAATGAATATTCTTTCGTTCGGTTATCAACCTTGTTCTCTTTTATATGATATTATTTAAGCGAATAAATATAGATGTTTGAAACATTCTATGATGATTAGGATCTGAAAGAGACACGAGAAACATGCTATGCTCGTTTTTCACGAAGGAAATAAATGACTGTGCAAGGCAAGACGATTGTCTAATGAAAATAAGACATACGAAAAGAGAGTATTTTTTAATTGTCAGTCTCGTCGATGTGTAATTACTCGCAATTTCATGCTTATTCATAGTAAAAAAAACCCTTTGTCATGTACAGCTCTTTCTGTTCGATGATAAGAAGGATGTTAAATATGTATTTCGAAAGACGACTAACACATACTGATGATGTGCGTCGTTTGTCTCTTGATAAAACGAGTATCAGAATAAATGAGTAAACTGAATAGATAGATAGCAAAGAATATATTACTTAAAAACAACGAAACGATAGATGTCTTCAAGAATATGTTCTAAATTCCCATTGTTCATACTGATTTGATATATCTTCACTGGATCTGTCGGATTAATTCGATGGAAGCATGTTTTGATTCAGCTCAAGCGTAGTTGCAGTTTCTGCGAAGTTCTGTTTTTTTTTATACTGATGTTCTTCAAGTACAAACACGACGATGCCCTCGGAATCTATTGCATCCCATAATACTTTTTGAGCGACGTATTTTCGTATATAGCTTTTCAAAGATACAAATATTTTCCCTAAATGAAAATGGAACAGACGTCAATATATTATTCCGCCGAATGTTATTAATAGTCCGGATTACTAGAGAACGCCAACAGTATAAATACTCGGATATTAGAATAAAACCCTTCATATTTTAATAAGAAAAAGTTACAATGACAGCTGCTGTTCAACCACGTGATGAACCAGCCTACATTTCTCTTTTAAAACCGTCTCTTGTTGGACAACTTTATTCATGGGGTTATCTATGCCTGTTTGTCCTCGGCTTTACTGGCAATATTTCCAGTCTGCTAACATTCACGCGACCCACATTACGGTCTGTCTCGACAGGCCTACTCTTTATCATCTTAGCAAGCTCAGACACTATCTTTTTACTTGTATCCATCATTGATTTCCTTGATTTCGGTTTGGCCATTCCTCTAGTCAGCTATGTTAACTATACCATTCTATGTCGTGTACGTCTGTTTACTGCCTCAATGACGCAAATCTGTTCGGCTTGGGTTTTAGTTGTGATTTCACTCGATCGATGGATTCGTACACGATTTCCATACAAATCATCTGTGATATGCACCCAAAAGAAAGCATTGCTCGCTGTTGCGATCATTCTCATTCTTGACATTGGTATTCATGCAGTTATGCTTACACCACTGGTCGGCACTATATATCCTGGCGTTGCATTACTAGCCTGTGGGCCAGCTACATGGGATTATTTATATTTTTATTACATAACCTGGACAGTTATCCAAGTAAACTAGACAGAACTAAGCTGAACGGTAGTGAAATAATGTAACAGCTCTTTTTTCTTCTTCTTCGTAGGTTTTCATCAACTGTCTTGTGCCTGTAATCGTAATGCTATTCTTTCTCATTGACATGTTCATCAGAATTCGTGCTCAAAAGCGAAATGCAGGTCAACAAATCGAAGTTCAATCTCGTGGTCGAATATCCAATCCAGCAGTGAGACGAAATAATCGTTTACAAACACAATTGTTTGTTATGATGTTATCGAGTATCGCAATCTTTCTCGCAACAAATTTACCAGTAGCCGTCTATCGAACTGTATTTCCCCGGCAAGTGCTTAACATTCCAATAACAGAATATTCATCTGTGGCGAAACTATCTGCCATATTTCAAGTCATCTGGAGTGTCAATTACACAGTGAGTGAATCGTAGAGAGATCTTTTTAATAAGTCGAATTCTTTTAGATCAATTTCTACATTCATTGTTTGACTTCAACATTATTTCGAAGAGAATTTCGAAAATGCTTCGGTTCATTGTGCAGATCTAGAGATACTCAAGTTACCCCGGTCACTTTTATAACCGTACGCTAAGTAATGCGTACTTGCATATTCACTATTAACATTTTCGGGATCGGTAACACTCTGAGATGCCAATAAGATTTGATGTATTGTTATATATAGAAATTCGAGTTTTTTTCGTGTCTCTTCGAAGTAAATGTTGTTTTTGACGCTTCCCTATTATACTTAGTATTTTCTTGTTCTTCTTCACATTTTTGATGAATTTTAAAAGAACTAGATCAGTTTTAAGAATTTTAAACTCTGTAATTGTTTCTTAAAATAAGTCGATCTTGAAAAGATTAATCTAGAGAAAGTAAATTTTAGAGTGCAAATCTTTCTACGTCATTCAGTCAAAGAACTGCTCTTGGCAAAAAACTAATCCGGTAAAGTTGACTTTTATCATCACTGTCATGTTCGAAAGAATCCATCAGGGACAGAAAATGAGATGATCCGTTTTTTTTCTATCTTGACGAAATGGAGCGGTCAGGATACCTGCTGTAGTTCTAAGACAAACAAACTTTCTTTTTTTGAAATGTGATTTTCATTTTGTAAACCTATTGCCTTTAACCGGTAAATAAGCAATTTTATTCGCAATAAATGAAAGAAAGCACAACAGACACACGGAAAGAAAATTAAAAAAACAACAATTGAATTTAACTTTAATACATAGATGCAATTTGTTTTTATTCAATACTGAAAATGAAAACATTGTACAAAACCAACTCACTAAATGTATATGTATCACAGTTAAAACAATACGAAAACAATAAATGCAAGCAGAATTTTATGATGAGAACGATGGTGTTCTTGCAATTTCTTTCATATAAACGGGATCATCTAAGATTGACACATACGTTTTCTCGACATCAGCATCTTCTTCTTTCATTTGTTCATGTAATGCTATCAAACGGTACCATGTAATAACATCAGGATCAGCCAGATTCATCGAAAGTGAACATGCATCAATACCATGATTATCTTTTAATAGAGGATCAGCGCCACGTTTAAGTAAGAGTATAATCGGCCTAAAGATATCTATTAGATAGCGATAAGAACATTATCAAAGATAAATACCCGCGTCCTTTGTTCGCTAATTGAGTTGCATAATGAAGAGGTGTTCGACCATCTTCATCTGGCAGATTCACTTTTGCATTGTTTGTGAGAAGAAACTCAGCAGCTGCGACAGATTTCTACAGTATTACAAGTCTCAATTGAAACATGTAGAAAATGAGAAGAGACAATCATACGCTTAATATTGCTTCTATCAACGGTGTTCGTCCATGATCATGTTCGTTGGCGAAATTCTTATCAGCACCAAGAGCTAATGCATGTAACATCATCGGTACGTTACGATTTCGAGCTGCATCGTACAGATAGATATTCTGATTCCATATCAATGGTGGATTATCTTCAAGATAAGAAGAAAACGAAATGAGAATACTGAGAATAGATAGCTATCATACCTGCGACAATGCCATTGTCAGAAGGTACGATTGGTTTCCTAAAATACGATATTAATTTCAACGGAGATTCTATTGAGAATGAGACAAACCTGAATAGTTGTTGTCGGTTATAGTTCTTCAATAGATGTGCAGTATTTTCATCATCAAGATCATTTCCAAGACTTGTTGATAAGGCCGCATTTTTCATGACTGTCCATCTTCGAATGTTGCGCGTTGTTGGCCGTAAATAATTTGACGAAGGCAACGGACGTACAAATGCTTTCTGAACGTATTTTGCTTCGATATAATTCCGACGCTTAGTACTAGAAAAGACAACGAATGACAATGTGACACAACTGAAATTCATTTTCTTTCAACGAATCTTACGGATCTGCATCTGTCGTTGGTTTTGGTATTTCACTTGATAATTGCGCTTCGTAGATTTCATTGACAATATTGTTACCTAATTCTGCCATGACTAACAATGTTTCTAAGTCCCACGTGTCCATGTGCAATGAGCGAACTTTGGAAAAATTAACACCAAGACCTCTAATAGAAAGAAGGTTTCATTGGAAAAATAGCATAGCGACAATTGAACTAACCGATGTGCTCCACCACAGTTCAAGCAAAGTAGGATACCTAAGTTAATCGATGCCCATTCGGGATTTTCAGCATCACAATCACAACATTTCTCATTTCCCGGCAGCGAACGTACGTATTCAATTTTCTCTTTAATCCTAAACAACCGAATGTTTTTTCGTCCATCAAGTGTGAACTTTCTCTTTACATCTTTTGTTTCAATTCGGTTTTAGCAATGGAAAGTGTACTTGAATGATTATCGAATAAAGACTTTGGTGAAGACTGAAAAACAAAGAGAATGAGTCTAGAAAATGAATCATTTTTTACACTTTTACCGATGATGAAGTTGGTCTTTCATTATTATTCGATGATTTGAACAGATGCGCTATCGTTGCATGCAGTACATTAATCCATTGTTCACATTCTAATTGCGAATCCGCTTGAAGAAGATGTGAACTAAACAGTTCCGACAATGATCACGAATCATTCATGAAAACAACACTTGCCTGTTCGGAGAAATAATTTCGAAAACAAATCGACGGTCGTTATCATTTGAAGAACGAATTGTACATAGACGTAAATCAGGTACCATAACTGAGTAGGGAAATTGTTCGGGAGAGTTATCATGAACAGCAGTGCTACTATTCCGTTTCATATAGAGCAACTGCCCATTTCGAATACAAAACCATCGTCTAGAGGAGAACTAAGAGTAAGGTTTTGATGACAAGAGCCATTTTCACCTGTTCCATGTTTTGAACTTATTATGTGAACGTTTGAATAAATACCCTAGAAAATATTTTCATGACTTGGTTTAAACAACTCCTCACTTACCTTCTTTTGTCACTTCACTTCCGTTCGGGGGCTCATTAGTCATGTTCAATAAATTTTGTTGGGAGATATTTCGCGGTGGAATACTTTTCGACTAAATCGAGATGATGTAATCTTCTACCGGAATGTTTCGTTATCACTTACTAAAGATAAGGATGACTCAAGTGTTAATCCATCGCTTCGATTATCATCTGGATTGTACTAGAATAGATACGAATAGTATTCAAATTCACTGGCTCGTCAATTTTACTCGTTTTTGATTGACTTCATGCATTTTTTCTAATAGCTTTTGTTTTTGTCCATTATCTTGCTTCGTTTTGATTAACTAAACAAATAATCTATCGAGTTGCTATTGTGTCAGTCAAGACTTACTTCAGTGGTCATGGCATGAGCATCCCCTTCTGTTTCTGCTGACAATAATTCATAGCCTTGATGAAAAAAGGCCTTGTGGAAATTGATATACGATAAGAATAGTTCAATCAAATCGACTTTATGTTGATCGAAGAGAACATTGATTTGATAAGTGTAATCAATCGATGTATGACCAAAACAACTACGAGTTGCGATCAAATTCTTACTAACATCTTCACAGATATTAACTAAAACACAGAAACTACACAAATCTTCTCACATTTCGAGTTCCTTACGCTTTGTTTTGGATACGTCAGCGTTCTTCTGTAAGGCTATGTCATAATCAGTGCTTAATCGTTCGAATAATTTGCCTTGATCTTTGACTTTCTTGATATCTTCTTTTAACATTCGTGTCAATGTCCGAAGAATACTATGTGATGTTTGTTCCAATAGACTCTAGTTGATGCAAACATGTCTATCGTAATCATTGTCTCAATCAATCAACCAACTTACGGAGAATAATGTTTGGATTTCGTAGAGATAATTACCAAATTTAGCGAGACTTTTATAAGCTAGTTCGTCAGTCGAGAAGAATTCACGTACATCAAAGATACATTTGATAAATTTTCTAAATGAGAAGAAATTTGTGTTCACAAAGTTCAACTCATTCTCGTCTTTTACTGAAAATCTTGCACGAATAATTTGCCACTGGTGACGAGCGAATTGCACATTTTATACATTTGTTCTAAACGATCTTCAAGTATGTCGATTCGATTGGCTGCTTGTCGAAGTTGACTTCTATCGACGAGAGAAAA